TTCAGGAATCTCTTTAAATGTAAATGGCTTAGGGGCGCCTGGGGGGCTCAGTCAGTTGAGCGTCAGACTTCAGCTCAGGTCATGATTTCACAGTTCGTGGGTTCGAGCCCCGTGTCGGGCTCTGTGCTGACCGCTTGCTCAGAGCCTGGAGCCTGTTTTGGATTCTGTGTCTCCTTCTTTGTATGCCCCTCCCCAGTTCACGCTCTGTCTCACTCTGTCTCTCAAAAATAAATAAAAAATGTTTAAAAACATGTAAATGGCTTAAACGCTCCAATTAAAAGGCAGGGATTGGCAGAGTGCATCAAACAGCATGATCCATCTGCTACATGCTGCGACAAGAGACTCACTTAAGATAAAAGGACACAAAGAGGTGGAAAATCAAAGGATGGAGTAGGATATTCGATGCAGGGCCGCTTGGGTGGCTCAGTCAGTTAGGCATCTGACTTCAGGTCAGGGCATGATCTCACGGTTTGTAAGTTCAAGCCCTGTATCCATTCTCAGAGCAGAGCCTGCTTTGGATCCTCCGTCTCCCTCTCTCTGCCCCTCCCCTGCTCATGCTCTCTCTCAAAAATAAGTAAATGTTAAAAAAAAAAAAAGATATTCCAAAGAGAGCTGGGTCCTATTTTATTTATGTTCGGTGCCCTTGGGACAGGTTATCATTTCTCGAGGTCAGGCATGGAAGGGGCTGTGCCTGCCCGGCTCACATGGACGGTGAGGTTTCCGCCTTGCAGTCTCTTAACTTATTCAATAGCAAAGCTGTTTGACTCTCCCAGCCTCTGCGGAGAGGACTCACAGGCCTGGCAGGAGACGGTCTGAGTTGCTGGTCCCACGGGTACCCGTACTCTCACTCCCTCATCTCCTTCCTGTGACGCGCCCCCCGCCCGCCGCCCGCCGCCCACCCTGCCCGCAGGACCAGTCCTTCCCTTATCTGGATGAGCCTTTTGTTTCTGAGCGCCCTGATCACGGCCCACATAATGTATCTTTTTTTTTTTTAATTTTTTTTTTTATGTTTTTTATTTATTTCTAGGAGAGAGAGAGAGAGACAGCGTGAGCAGGGGAGGGTCAGAGAGAGAGGGAGTCACAGACTGAAACAGGCTCCAGGCTCAGCTGGCAGTCAGCACAGAGCCCGACGCGGGGCTCTGCCTCCAGTCACCGAGGCCCAAACGCTGGTCATTTTGTTCATGCCCATGGTGCCCGTGCCCGACACCCTAGGACCCCACCTGCCTGTCAGACCCCACCTGTCACCTGCCAGATCCTGTGAGAGCAGGCAGCTCGTGACCCTTCACCTCGGCGGTCCCAGCTCGCACGTCACCAGGACCACCCGACGGCACGTGGCGCCCTCTGCCCCCCTTCCCGTCTGCTTTCCCCGCCCCCTCCCCGGCCTCAGCCTGGCGCAGGGCCGCCCGTGTAGCTTATGTATCTCGTGGTCTGTCTCTCCCACGCAAAACTCAGCTCCTGGCAGGGCGGCCGATGGTCCCCGTTCGCCTGGGCTTCAGGGCTGAGACTCCTGACCCAATGAGCCCCTCCGTCCGGCGCAGACCCAGGCTTGGCCCCCAGCTGCAGGGCGGGGGTCTGCGTCCGCGTTACTGCCTGACGCCGGTCAGGGCGGCGCCCCGTGAGTACCCGGCGCCTGCTGAGAAGTGGATGAGCGAACGAGGCACAAGGTGTCCCAAAGGCTCCCTGTGGGTCAAGTGCGAGCGCCGAGCATTTTCCTCCTGGGCAGGAGTGGCCTGCGGTGGGGACGGTATTTCTGGCTGGGGAGGGGGAGGGTGTCACTGGTCTAGGGGGCCTGCAGGTCAGCGGGTGCTGCGTGTGGTTGGGTCTCCGAGCGCCACTGCGCTTGGTGACAGCACACACGTGGAAGCTGTGGCCGAGCAGGCCCCTCCTCGCCCCATTCCTTACAGCCCCGAATGTCCTTGACAGGAACGCAGCCATAGTCTCTGTTTGGGCCTCAGTTTCCCCCACCTGTGAAGGCCAGGCTGCAGCAAGTCTTGAAGGAGCCTCCGGTGTGCGCCCGCCCGCCCTGCTCCTCCCCCAGGCAGGCAAGGGTTTCCGGGGGCAGCCGCGGGTCAGAGTCAGGGTCTCCGCATGGCCAGGGGCTCCCGCATGAAGGACCAGAACCCAGGGCAGGGGCAGCACAGCCGTAGCCAGAATTCTGGTGCCCTCCCTGCCCTGTGCCCTGGCGGGGGGCGGGGGGCGCACCGCGGGCAGACAAAGGCCTCCACAGGACCCCGGGCCTCCGAGAGCCGGGCAACGGGAGCACGTGGTGAGCGCAGCGCCCCGAAACCCTGACCTGGGCTAGGACTGGGCAGCCTGGGGCCCGGGGGTGAGGCCTCTCTGCCCCCCATCCTGCAGCGTCCCATCCTTTCAGCTCCGGGTTTGACCCGACCTTTCGAAGCCCCTTTACCGGACAGGACCGGACGCCGGAGGGGGGTTTCAGGGTGGGTGGCCCTTGCTCTGCCCCTCCAATCCTGGGGGCGCCAGCAGGGGTGCATGACCTGGACACCCCCCTTCTCCCACTCTCCCTGCCACACGTGGCCCCGCTGGGTGTCGGCATCCTCAGCCTGTGGGGTGTCCTCGGGGGACAGCCTGGGGGCTCATACGTGGTGGGGGGCCGGGGCAGGGGGCGGACAGCAGGCTCTGTCTGAGGCCCGTGGTTCTGCCCTCGCCTCCGGCCCCATTGTGACAGGTACACGTGTGTGCCATAACCCTCCCCCACCCCACGTGCCCCAGGGGGTTACCTCACCCTGCAGACCCCACGTCTGTCCTCAAGGGAAGAGGCGAGCTAGGTGGGCAAGTGTTTACTGGGTTTGCCCCCCCCAGTCTGCTGCCGGCAGCAGCCCCCATCAAGGCGGGAATGCGGGGGCAGGGCCCTGCTCGGGAGGGGGTCGTGCATTTGAACATGGCGGCACAATGGGGGCCAGGCCCGGGGTGCCTGTAGCAGGGGCATTGTGGTCAGGTGGACATGGAGCCGGACACCAGATGCGGGGGGGCGGCCCGGCCCGGGGTGTGGAAATCAAGCTGCAGGGCTCAGGGTCCTTCCGTGGTCCTTGAGCACAGATGGCACATGGTGGCCCTCGGTGAGAATGACACTTCACATCCTGGTGGGTGGCCCCTGAGGCCACAAGAAGTGACCGTCTTTCGCTGGACTGGCTGGGCTGCAGGAGGTGACCTGAGCTCTGGGAGGGGGTGCAGGGGGCCGGGGGAGGCCCAGCCTGGGCAGTGGGGGCCACCCAGCGTGTGGACAGTCGTGTGGGAGCCCTCTGCGCAGGAGCTGGGGGTGGGCCTGAGCCAACAGCCTGGTCAGCTGCAGCAAGCGGGGGTCACACGCTGCTCTCCGGGCCCATCACGCGGGGGCCAGGGACGGTGGCCTTGACCACGGGCTGTCCAGGGGGAGCACGCACCAAGCTGAGAGCGGACAGGTCAGAGGCCAGGCCATCCGGGAGAGAGGCAGCCCTCCAGCCCTTCCGGAGGCCTCCAGCAAGGGGGTTCAGGAAGGGGTGGAAGGTCCTTCATCTGACCCAAAGCTCCCGGCCAGCTTGAGGGTCCCCAGGGAGCCGCGGGCGGCCGGGGAGACGGAAGGCGGCCGGCCCCACAGCCAGTGTCCAGCCGAGCCACCTCCGAGTTCTGAGGGCCTGGCTTTTGCTGCCAGAGGTTCAGGGGCCCAGGAGTGAGCTGGCCTCCTCCGCACCCCAGGGCACTGGCTTGTGCTCCATGAAGCTCCTGGCCTCAGTCTGCTGTCCCCTGGGTGGCAGCTGGAAAGAGAGGAGTGGGGTGCTGGCTCAGTCTGCACAATGCCTCCCCCAGCTCACCCCCAGCTGTGTGGCAGGAGGAAGAAAAGGGGGCCGCAGGCTCCAAATGCTCCAGGCTCACCGGCCAGGCCCTTCCAGGCCCTTCCAGGCCCTTCCAGGCCCTTCCAGGCTGCCTGTCCGGGAGAGCCAGTGGCTGGCAGCAGGCACATGTCCTGTCTTCGGGGGCAGTCCACCTAGACCCCAAAGCAGCCCAGGCTCTCTGCTCACGGGCCCCCGGGCACCTGGCGGGCAGGTGGTGGAGCCCTGCTCCAGACACAGGCCCTCAGGGTGACCATCACCCCTCCGGCCTGTGAGCTGTTGGAGGGGGTCTTTGTTGAGGAACGGGGACCCAGACTCAGCTGCAAAGCTCCTCTGGGGGCTGGGAGGGATTGGGGGGATACAGGGCCAGGCCACCAGCTTTGCGAAGGGTGCCAGCCGCCCAGGTGCCCGGGTGCCAGCCCACCCTCCCCACCTCCCTCTGCTTCCAGGGCCCCCACCGTCTGCTCTCCGCTCAGCAGCCAGGAGGGTTGCGGCACAGGCACCCGGCGCCCTTCTCATGCCCCGCAGGCAGGGCCGCCCGCCTGGGCCACACCCAGGGCCCACGCGGTTCGCTCTGCTTCCTGCTAAGCCCGAGATCCCGGGGGTCTGCGCCTAAGCGGGCTGGGTGGGTGAAGGCGGGTGACGATGTCCCGGGTTCTCCGACAGTTGGAACCAGAGCCCTGGCCAGCGGCGGTGGACACGCAGAGGGGAGGACGCAGCTCCGCGGGTGCCCAAGGGTGGAGCGCAGGGGCGGGCCGGGCCCCTACCCCTGTCCGGCCTGCCTTCGCCCTGGCTCAGAAGCCTGGCTTGACTCCAAGGCAGGTGGCGCCTCTGTCCCCCACTGGTGCCCCATCTCCCGAGCGGTACCCCCCACCCCACCCTGAGGGTGAGAGACAGGGCCCAGCTCTGAGCTGAGGTTGGGGCCCAGCCCTGGCCTCCTGCTGCCCATGAGTGTCCACCCCCCCCCACACCCCCGTGGCCCGAGGCCCAGCTCTGGCACTCACCGCACTGAAGGTCACACAGCTGCTGGGGGGCGGAGAAGTGCACGTCGGTCCTCCAGCCCTGCGGGGGGGGGGGTGCAGCTCGGTCAGCCTGCGGCCCCCTCCTTGCACCCTGACTGCATCCCCCAGGGCGACAGCCTGGAGAGGAGCTTTGGGGGGCAGGATTCCCCTGGGCTGATGCCTGGAAAACAGGTCTGGGACTGGGCAGGTGGGTGGGGGCTGGGTGGGGCAGCACCGCCCACCTGGATGCAGGTGCCGGGGTCACAAGCCTCGTCCCTGGGAATGTCCACGAAGGCAACTGCAGGGTCGGCCACGAAGTCACCCTGGGTTGAGAGAAGAGTCGGTCGTAGGAAGTGGGGGTGGGGGGCAAGAGCGGCCGCACTGTCCCTATGGCATGCGCACACACGGCCAGCGCCCACAGGGCAGAGCCCTGCACCTGTCCGCACCGGGCGGCCTCCAGAGGCTGACCCGGGAAAGTGAAGGGGCCAGCCACCCTCCGCCGGCAGTGCCCACCCACCTGGCTCACTGAGGCTGCAGGGAGGGGCGTGGCCTGGAGCGCTGAGCCACAGGCAGGGGGCCACGTCTCCCTTTGGTGACACAGGTGCACCCTGAAGCTGGCCTCGCTGGGCGAGAAGAAGGTGACCCGGAGATGGCCCTGCGGTGCTGCCGGCTGGATGGTCATCTTCCAGGCTGTGGGGTGGAGGGGTTGAGGCCCAGCAGCCCCCCGCCACTTCCGCTCCCCGTCTCACTGACCCAGCACCCTGTCATCCTGCCTGCCTGGCCAAGAGGCTTCTATGTGAACGAAGAAAAGGGCGTCATTTGCTGCATCGAATAGCAAGGGCCTCCCTGCCCTGCGGCCCCGCCGAGAGCTCACCTGGGAAGCGTCGCTGTTGGAAAGGGCACCTCACCCAGAAGCCCAGGCTGGTGGAGAACTGCAGAGAAGCCGCGAGGGGTAAGGCTGTGGCATGTGGGGGGCGGCTGGGGGGCGGCTGGGGCCTGGGCCAGGCTGGGCCTCCCTCCTTCCCGCAGAGCCCTTCAGCTGCACCCACTGCCAGACAGGGGGCGGGGCAGAGGGGTCACTGGGAGGCTGGACCCCAGGGCCGGACAAGGTCTGGGAGTGAGTGTGGCCCGACCCCGCGGCCTCCCTGCGGCCTCTCCCTCGGTGCCAGGCGCTGGGCCGCCCACTCACCTTCAGGCAGAGCTGGGGCTGCGTGTCTACCAGCGGGTACTGCACCTGAGGGGGTGCTCAGGTCAGGCCCTGGCCGTCTGTGCCCACCCCCACCCCCGCCTGGTGGCCACTCACCCTGCCTCGTGCGGGCCGGCCCGAGTGCTCCAGCTCGTGGCATTGGGCCCCTGGCTCCGGGCGCCAGCACAGGCTCACGCGGGCGCTGACGGGACAGGCGGGCTCCCAGCTCAGCGCCTGGTCCCCGGGGTGGTAGCGGATGGCGTCCCACAGCGCCTCTGTGTCTGCAGGGACCCGCCCCCGGGGACCCCGGTCAGCGGAGCCCAGCACCTGCTTACCCGACCATCGGGTCACTTCGAGACGCAGGTGCAGCTTTCTGCAGGTGTCCGGGGCCCTAGCCCAGGGGTGTGCCTGTGCGTGCGTGCGCATGTGTGTGTGCGTGTGTGTGCACGCGCCCATGCAGTGTCAGAGAGTGGAGCCCAGCACAGGGTACCCCTCCTCCACCCCGCAGACGGCCGCTCTCAACAACACTTGCTTCTTCCGGGTGAGCCAGGCAGGCACGTGCACTCACGTGTACCGGTGCGTGCACGCGGGCGCGCATACACGTGAACACACACGTCTGCAGATTCTGCCACTGAAAAGGCTTGCTTGGGACACACTTCTGTCTACATGTTGTCCGAAGCAAGCGTAAGCACCTGGGCGGGGGGGGGGGGTGCCCACCTTGCCAGGCACCTCGGACCCGCCCGCCTCCCGCCCGGCCCCTACTCCACACCAGGGCCACTTGCCATTTTCGAAGGGACAGGCCTGCATCCGCACTGCGTCAGGGGTCGCAGCCCAGCCCTGCGGGAGGGGCCGGGGTCAGCGCAGGTCCTGCCCATCCCTGTCTCCTCCCAGCAGCGAAGGCCGCACTGTCACTGACCTCGAGGCACAAGCATGGCAGCTCTTGGCTGTAAGGCAGAGACACGGCGCGGGAGACCCTGTTCACTGTCACCTGCAGCGGAGTGGAGGCTCGGGGACTGGGGGCCCGGCGGGCGGGCAAGGGGCCGTGATGGCCTGGCGTAGGTGGGGTGGTGGGTGGGGCCGGGCTCGGGAAGTGGGGCGGGACTTGGGTGGGGGGTGGGGGGTGGGTGTGTGTGGTCTGGGCCCGGAGCCGGTGTCCCAGACGGGGGAGGGGGGGCTCACCCGCACGGGGGCATCCACCTCCTCACAGGTGAACCACTTGAGGCAGAGCCGCAGGTAGTAGTCAGAGTCCCCGGGGGCCTCCGGCACTTGTGCCAGAATGACCTTGCGGCTGCGGTCCACCCAGTAGGAGAACTTCCCGGCTACAAAACGGCGGCAGGTGGAGGCCACGCCGGGACTAGAAGTCACTGGACACAGGTCCTCTCCTGTCCTGGGAGCCTCGAGGTCGTGACCCCTGCTGGACCCAGGCATTTGGGAATCGCCCACCTGGGGACCATCGTGATTTCCCAAGCGGGGCGGACAGAGGATCCCAGCGGGCTGGCGAGTCAGGGCCTTGCAGAGACCCAGGGGGCTTCCTGGGGCTGCGGGGCTGTGGTCCCACCCACGGGCGGGGCCTCACCAAGGCAGAAGGGCAGATTCCTCCCCACGTCTCGGTCTCTGCAGTCTGCAAATGCACAGGCAATGGCGGGTCCAGCCGCTCTGTCCCCAGAAGCCGCACCCCCGCTGGGCGTCTGCCCTTGTCTACGGAAGCCCCACCCTCCAGGGAGGCCGGGCCGCCTGCTGGGAGCGTCCAGCATGGGAGCCTGCCCCTGACCCATGTGCCCCCCTCCTGGGGTCCCAGACGCCAGAGGCAGCCGTGCCCAGGCCAGTCCCACGAGCTCCCACCTTCCACGTGGTACTGTTGATCCAGCTGGACCCCACAGAAGTGGGGGACTGTCCTCAGGGTGACGTAGAGGCTCTGAGCCACGCTCACTTCGAAGCAATCAAAGTGCACCTGGAGCTGGGCAGGTACAGGTGTGAGCCAGGGGGACCGGGGGTCTCCAGCTACCCATCCGCTGCCAGCTAGCTCCGCCTCGCACAGCCGGAGCCCAGCCGAAGGGGTGCCTATTCCTTGGGCCTTGGGTGGGTCAGGTGTCAAGGACGGGAGGGCACCCAGGGACAGCCAGGGGACAGCTGCTCCCGCCTGGCAAAGGCTTGGGGCTGGCTCAGCAGGACTGGGTCAGGCGCTGCCTCACCTGCTGCCCCGCATGTAGTCGGCGGGAGGCCCTGGAGACCCGCACGCTCTGACACTGTGTCTCCTGCGTGTCGAGGCTCATGGAGCAGGCCTCCAGGCCCCGCAGGCTGTCTGGGGGAGGGGAGGGGCCGGGCAGGGCTCATCAGATGTGCAGCTGGCAGAGCCCCCCTCCCCCTCCCCCGCCCATCGGATTGGTGTGGAGTTAAAGGAGCCCTGAGCCCACCACCCCGCTTCCTGGGTGTTCCCACCCTCGCAGTCAGCACGGCCCCGGGGCCTCTCACCGTGCAGCGTGAGGGAGGCCTGCACGCGCAGGAGCAGGGAGCAGCCATCCTGGGGGGCACACCTCATGGCAGTGGAGACCATCAGGGCCCCCAGGATGGACCTGGACATGGACGTGGGGGATTCCCGGCAGAAGCTGTTAAAAATGTTCCCTGAGGCGGAGGGAAGGAGGGTGAGTGCCAGGGGCGCCCAGCGCCGGGTGAGGCTTTGTGGGGGCCCAGCCTGGGGGAGGCCCTGGGAGTGCGTGTCTGGGGAGGGGTCCTCACGGTCTTGCCCTATCGGAGTGCTGCCCCCCACCCCCCCTGTGAATAGTGGGCCTGCCCTGAGCCGACTGTCTGTTAGGGATCAGGAGTGGGGCCAGGCCCGGGAGCAGGCCACCCCTGAGCCTGGGGAGCTGCTGCTGCACCTGGCCCGCAGGGGTGAGTGGGGCCTGCCTTCCCATTAGCTGGGAAGCCCCATCGCCCGCCTTCAAAGATGAGCACCAGAAGAGGCCTGCTAGGGGCACCTGGGTCATGACCCCGCCACACAGCCTCAGGCTCTGGTCACAGGCCGGAGGCTACCCTGGTGCAGGTGGACCGGCCCGGGAGCCTTGGCGGGGCCGGGGTCTCACTTCCGGGCACTGGGGCTGAACAGCAGCTGTGGCCTTCACTTGGCCAGGCTGGCAGCTGGGGACCTGGGGGACGGGGAGCTAGTTCCACACGAGCCACGGATCGCTGGGAAGGCCTGTGCCCCACAGAGCTGGCGGCCAGGTGCCCTCCTGCACGCGGGGTGTGGCGCGTCTGCGGGCGTGAGAGATGGCGCTCAGGCCTGGTGCCATGTGAGGTGGAGGAAGTAACCCCGAGGGGGGACCACGTGTCCAGGAAGGGGAAGGTGTGTGTGCTCAGTGGGCGCTTCAGGGGCTCAGAACCCCCAGGGCCCTCAGGAGCACATGCGGAAGACGTCACTGGGGACAGAGCTCAAGGGGAAGTTCTGCAGGCACCACAGCCCATCAGACCGGGTGGAAGTGCTAACGTGCGAGGCACATGGGGAGCAGAGGAAGACGGTGCACCAGACGCCTGTGCGGTGAGACCGAGGCAGAGGCGGACGCTCCTCCAAGTCCCCAGCACTCGAGGACCAAGGCGCTGACCTGAAGGCACGGGGCAGCCATCTCTCCCCGAGCCTGGGGACCTTCTCCACATGCGATGCAAGTAGGTGGGCTCTGGAGAAGGCAGGTGTTTGCAGGAGAGCAGTGGCCCGGCCCCGGGGACACGGATGGACGTGCTGGTGTAGGCAAGGCACTGTGGAGCCTGCCCCGCAACAGCCCATACTGACTGGCTTCAGAAACAGACTCTGCAAGATCTGAAGATTTCTTTCATGGGAGAGAAGTCAGCTCTATGGATCCCACTGTGGCCAAGACAGAGTCACGGAGGTCCGGTTGGCCCCCCTGCCTGACACAGCCTGGAAAACCAGACAAAATACGTGGGGCAAGGGTTTCACAACATGACACGGGGAAGTGAAAGAGCATGGTGTCCCGGCCACAGGGGACACACAAGTGAGTTCCACAAATGTGTCAGTGTCTTGAGAGTGTTTCCAGAGTGTGGCGGACGGAGGGGCTCAGGGGGAGCCTGGCACCCTCCCTGAGTCGAGGAAATGGACCAAAGCACCGCACCAGCAGGACGGAGTGTGAGGCAGGAGAGTCGGCTTCAGGCAGAACCGTGGAGAATGGTCGCCCTGCCGAAGCTCAGGTCAGCACACGCGTGTGAGGGAATTACTGGGGCAGGGAAGGAACCAGCTCAGAGGATCTGAGGGGAGAGTGTCCTGCACTCGCGTGGGGCCGAAAGTAGTCCCTATTCTCAGCCAGACACTGGGTAGGTACCACACACGCAAGAGTCTTGCCTCAGTCGCGGATAATTAGCCTCAGACTGATTGCTGCTCTCATTCTGCCCAACATGTCTTAAAAGTAAGATCCCCCAAAGTTTAAGCTGTTTCCAGGTAACTTAACTGTATGCCAGGAAGGCCTCAACAATATTTGTAGGAACAAAAATATATATCCAGCACACAACAGGGTAAAATTCACGATGTCTGCCATCCAATAAAAAATCACAAGACATGCAAAGAATCAGGAAAATACAATCCATAATGAGAAGAATTGATTAATTGAAACTGATATAGGTATTAGAATTGGCAGTCAAGAACATTAAAACAATTATTATAACTGTATTCCATATGTTCAAAAAGTTAATAATAGACATGGAAGATTAGATAGATAGGTAGATCTCAAATCCAACTTCTAGATAAAAATATAATGTCTGAGACGAAAAATACATCAGATGGGATTAATAGCAGATTAGACATTAAAAAAAAGAAGATTGGGGAGCCTGACATAGCAATAGAAATTATCCAAAAGTAAATGGAAAGAGATAGTGATGATGATGGTATAATAACAGAAGCATTGGCAGGACAACCTGAGTGACCTGATGCACATGGAATTAGAATCCCCAGAGGGAAGGGGGAATGAAAAAAAAAAAACTTGAAGAAATAATAGATATGTCCCCAACTTGATGAAAACCGTAAACTGACAGATCGAGAAGCGTGGTGAGTGCCTAATGTAAGAAAGATGAGAAAAATTGTGAGGCACACCATGATCAACTTGTGATAAAGGGAAAATTATAGAAGCCACAAGAGGAAAAAGACACATGTGTTGAGGAACAAAGGCAAGGGCAACTTCAAGTGTCTGGTGGGAAGAGAGAGCAAGGCGGGAGGAGAGCCTCCAAAGACAAACCTACTAACCAGGAGCCCTCGCACGGGGAGGTCTCTTAGAGTGAAGGGTAAATAAAGACCTCATACATAAGCTCATCAAAAGGCCCAACCTAAAAAAGAAAAGTCCCTTGGGTAGGAAGGAAAATGGGAATAAATGGAATAAAGAACATCAGAAATAGTAACCATGTGGTAGATACACAAGATATTGTCTTATTATTTAAATCCACTTAAAGGATGACTGACTGTTTAAACAAAATAATAATAAGAATGCGCTGCGGGGTTTAGAACAGGTGTTAAGGGGAAAGGCGTGACTCCAACAGCACAAATGCCCAGAGGGCAGAAGTGGCGCTGCCAGCGTGGGACAGGGTGGGACAGGGCGGGATCTGGGCCGCTTGTGAAGTACTGCGTTACCCCTTGAAGGGGGGTTAGAAGGAGGTAAAGGTGTATACTATAAATGCCAACAAAAAAAATCCAAAAACCAAAACAAAACAAAACACCAAAGCAATCACTAAAACAACATTTTGAACTATTAAGTCAACTAAGAAGATAAAATGAAATCACACACACACACACACACACACACACAAATAACTAAGAAGGCAGAAAAAGAAAAAGTTAATGAAGAAGAGATGGAAACAACACATAGGAAGAAGATCAATTTAAACCTAACCATCTCAACAATCATATTAAATGTAAATGATACCTTAGCTAGGCAAAGATTTTCAGACTGTATAGAAACTCAAGACTCAACTCTAAACTGCTTATAAGAAATACACTTTAAATAGAAAGACCCAAATGCAAGAAGACACAGCATGCTAATGCTAGGCAAAAGAAAGCTGGAATGGGGGCGCCTGGGTGGCTTAGTCGGTTAAGGGTCCGACTTTCGCTTAGGTCATGATCTCGCGGTTCATGGGTTTTTTTTAAAAATAAAAAATAAAAAATAAAAAAAAGAAAGCTGGAATGGTTGTTACTAGACAACATGGATTTCATGGCAAAGAATATTATCAGGGATACGGATATTCATTTCACGATAATAGAGGGAGCCATTCATCAGGAGGACACAACAGTCTTAAACTGATGTTATGCACTTCGCGTCAGTTTCACAGGACATAAAACAAAACTGATTCACCGCAAAGGGGAAGAGACTAGCCCACAACAACAGCTGGCTGCAAGTCTTTCCTCTAGGCAGAGGCAGAAAACCAGAGTAGGCAGAAAACCAGAAAGAATATGGTGACCTTGTATACCACTGTCTACCAGCTTGACTTGATTGGTGTTTACAGAGCTCCCCATCCAGTGACAGCAGAGTCTGCATGCTTCCCAAATGGAACGTCTGTCAAGATAGACTATATTCTCGCACAGAAAAGTCTCAATAGATTTAAAAGGGTTCAGATCAAACAAACCGTCTTCTCTGAGCAAAATGGAATTAGAGATCAATAAAATATTTCTGGAGACTTCCCCAATATTTGAAAACTAAGCAATACACTTCTAAAAAAAAAAATCCTTGAGACAAGGAAGAATCAAAAATTAGAAATTACTTTGAACTGAATGAAGATGAAAAAAAAAACCAACATATAAAAACATTTGGATGCTGCAAAAGCAGGATTAAGGATAAATCTGTAGAAATTTGTAATGTAGAAGAAACTCCTACATTAGAAAAAAATTTCAAATTAGTGACTGCAGCTTCTACCTTAAGGAACTAGAGATAGAAGAGTAAATGTACGCCTAAACTAATGCTAAGTTATATGTCAATTGTATCATAAACTAGGGAAGAAAGAGGAACAAAACCCAAAGTAATCCGAAAAAAAGGAAATAATAAAGATCAGAGTGGAAACCAACGAAATAGGAAACGGAAAAGCAATTGAGAAAAGTCGATGAAAGCTTATGTTCAAGAAAGAAATACGACCAGTTCTACGTGGATTTTTCCAGAAAATTGATGAAGAGGGAATAGTTCAGAACTCATTCTCTGATATCAAAACCTAACAAAACCATTACAAAAAGAGAAAACTATAGACACCCTATGACCACAGAGTAAAAACTCTAAAAAAATTAAAATTTTAGTAAATGGAATCCAATAATATATAAAAGGATAACACATACTTATCAGGTGTGGTTTGTGCTAGGAGTGCAAGATTGGCTTTATGTTAAAAAATCAATCACTATAATTAACTACGTTAACAAATTTTGAAAATCACATATGATCATCTCAATAGTCATGGCCAAAGTATTTTACAAAATCCAATATCTAATCCTAATAAGACCTTTCGGCAAACAAGAAAAGTAAGGGAACTTTCTCAATCTAATGAAGGTCGTCAGTGGGAAACATAGTTACTATCATGTTCGCCAGTGAAAGAAGGATGATTTTCCCTTAAGATCAGGAACAAGCCCGGGGTCACTGATCTGATCACGTCTACTT